CTGCCTTCGGCTCAGGTCATGATCCCAGGGTCCTGGGATGGAGCCCCGCATTGGGCTCCCTGCTCTGCAGGAAGCCTGCTTCTCCCTCTCCCACTCCCCCTGCTTGTGTTCCCTCTCTCGCTGTCTCTCTCTCTCTCTCTGTATCAAATAAATAAATGAAATCTTTAAAAAAATAAAATAAAATAACGATGTACTATACGTTGGCTAGTTGAACATAATAAAAATAAATAAATAAAAATAAAATGATGGGGATCAAGGAAGACCAGGGTTCAGGGCCAAACTTGCTATTCTCCGGCTGTGTGGCCGTGGCCCCTCGTTCCCTCATCTATCAAATGATGATAACGACACAGCCCCCAGGGTGACAGGACATGACCCACGCGGAAGCCTGACAGGTGCCCCATCACCTGCCTTCACCCTTGACCTCAGGAAGCCTCATCTGGGGAGCACAAGAGCACAAGGACCCCTCCTTGCCCCCCAGATTCCATGAGAAGATGGGGGCGCAGTACGTGTACCAACTACTCACTTCACCCTTCAGCAGATTGGCGCCAGTCTCAGAAGGGAACCCAACCCCGGGAAGCCTAAGCCGGCCTGGCCTCCCCCTCAGCCAAGTAACCTAAGCCCGCTCCTCCTGGGAGACGCTCCACGCAGCTGCCCGGCCCCGGGGTGTCTGAGGACCGGGAGGTCACCCTGGGCTCCTCTGTCTGGCCCGGCCCCGGGGGGGTGTGGCGGGGGGAGGACTCCCAGCCCTCCCCGCGGGCGGCCCTGGTCTGCACATCTCTCCCCAGGGCATCTGTCAGCACCTCCCCACCCAGAACCCCCACCCCACCCCCGCCCAGCCCTTCGGGGGCCTTATCCCAGAATTCCACCTGCCAGTGTCTGCGAAGATACACCCAGACCCGGACTGTCCAAAGCAGCTGAAAAGCAAAGCGCCCAGTGAACGGAGAAGGGCGGTGCAGCCGGCAGGCGCTGGGAGAGCCGGTGGACGTCCAGGCGCCACGGGTACAAGATGGCCGGCCAAGCACACCGCGTGCCTGGGGGCTTTTCTGGAAAGAAACACTGACAGAACGGCCTCAGGGGCCGCCCCGGGGAGGCAGGCGGACTTGGCGCCGCGCACCCTTCCTGTCCCGCTGTTGAACCAGGCAGAACTTCCGGCGCAGCGGGCTCCCGGAGAGACTTCTGCAGGAAAATCCAGGCGGGCAGGTCACACGGGAAGCTGACGGGTGATGTGGGGCGCGGGCCAGGACCAGGAGGGAGGAAGAGAAGGACTTTTCAGGTTCCACCCTCCTGAGCGGTTTGAGGCTCTGCCCTGCACACAAGAGATAACGGGACAAACGGCAGTCGTGACGGCCGGGGAGGCCTGGCGCCCACTCAAGTCGTCCAGGGCGTCCCCCGAGAGAGCAGGTGTGACCACGGACCTCCCTCAACTTGCTGGAGGGCCAGCGGGGTGGGAAAGGGCCTGTGACCAGAGGGTCCTTCTAAGGCAGGCGGATGATGGCCTGGACTTCTCAGCAATGGCTCTCGGCCGGAGCGCACCCGCAGCGCTCACAGTGTGATGGAAGAGGGGCAGCGACCCCAGGGGGACTCGGGTCTAAGCCAGGGGCAGCAGAGCCTGCATGCCAGGAGCTGTCAAGCGGGAAGGCCTTCTCCCCGCCTCAGGGAGGCCACACGGTGAGGCTTACCTCCCAGAACTCCAGCTCACACTGGACCCAGGTTTGAATCTGGGCTCTATCACCTGGAGCCTCACGCCCCCCACCCCCAAGCCTCAGCTTTCGTGTCGAGAAAGCGAAATGAACTCACCGCTCACTACTGTCCTAAGGACTAACACCCCCTTTGTATCCAGCCCAAGACCCACGGGGACACAGTAGGTATTACTGGCACAAAACACCCACCTTGGCTGCCATGTCCCCAAGGCATTCTGGCCCAAGGAAGAGAGTGGAGTCCCGGAGAGAATTCTGGCCTTACCGCGCCCCCCCCCAGCCCCCATCCGGCCACTGGACCAGCTCGACTAAGCGCTCCTTGGGGACATGGGAGCGGCCAACTGGTCGAGGTAGAGCGCGTGGCCAGCTTCACACGGTGCCTGGGAATGTCTTCGGTTTAGGCCCCCGCAAGCTCCAGGACAGGTCTAAATTTAGGCCACTCACCAAGGCCCCTTCTAAAGGAGCACCCAAGGGGCGCCTGGGTGGCTCAGTCGTTAAGCATCTGCCTTCGGCTCAGGTCACGATCCCGGGGTCCTGGGATCGAGCCCCACGTCGGGCTCCCTGCTCGGCAGGAGGCCAGCTTCTCCCTCTCCCACTCCCCCTGCTTGTGTTCCCTCTCTCGCTGTGTCTCTCTGTCAAATAAATAAATTCTTAAAAAAAATAAAAAAATAAAAAATAAATAAAGGAACACCAAGTAGATGGAACACACCTCCTTCCACGTTACCTCCCTGGGAGGAGACGAGATAGGGGCCCTTATTTCTAACGGCAACGGTTTATTTCCTAAGGTAGGGATGGGATCACACGGTGTGTTCATTCCTTTGAGAACGGTCACAACTCAACAGCAAGCCACCTCTGTGGGCACAAGAGGCTCACGTTGGGTGGCGGGGTGGACGGTGTACAGGGTAGCCTGAAAAATCCAAAAGCTAGGTCTACTTCAGGAGGGGCCCTGAGAAGACAAGTCTGAGGAGGAAACTTCCCGAACTCCCCAGCAACAGGATGACAGGACACCGGGGAGGTGCATGGGTAGTGGGGAGGATGGAAGAGAGGCAGCCATCTGGGGGGCAGGGAGGCTTCCCCCCAGTTTCCTGCTGGCATAAGGGGAAGCAAGGCCCCCCTCCGGGCACCCTGGCACCACTTGGGCCACAGGCCTCCCCCGCTGCTGCTGGGTCTGACCTAGAGCTGCCCGTCATAGCAGCACCCCAGTAAGCAGCGAGCCAGCCCTCACAGCCCCCGGCTGACTCCGGGCTGGAGAAGGGCCCTGCGCTAGCGACACCAAACCTCCCTGACCAGCGACAGCTCCGTGAGGTCAGAGCCCTGCAAGGGGGCTCCCCTTAAAGGGCTCACCCATGGTCGGGTAGGGTGGAGGCCAGCACCACCTCCAGGCCCCGCAGCCTTGGTCTCGAGGAGCCCGAAGAGGAGTCGAATTGTGGGGTGTGCTGAAGGGCAACCCCAAGAAAAGAAGGAGCAGACAAAGAGTGAGCTTGGCTTTTCTGAAAAGAATACGAGGGGCACCGACTGGGCGGGAGCTATTACATGCAAATGTCTCCCCCATCCATGCTAATCAGCTGCGCAGCCCCGGGCTTTGTGAGCTACAAAAGGGACAGCAGATGTGAGCCAGGGTTCCCTGGCCCCTGAAAGCATGGGCTTAGCGGGTGATTACTGGGGGTGGGGGAAGCAACAAAACCAGCAGCCCCGGCCCCTGGGTTCCTCCGGCCAGGACCTCGAAGCTGTGATGCACCCACTACTGGGCAAACACCTGAGGACGTGGGGTGCCTCAGTTACTGCTCCCGACCACCTCCCTTTCAAGGGAGGAAACCGAGGCACAGAGATAACATGCTCAGGGCAGCTCAGCCCGGGGACACGGCATCTTGTTAAAGAGCCAAGCCCCATCCCAGCATCCACTGGGAAGGATGTGGACTCTGGGCCCTGGCAGGTTGACGACAGGTGCCATCCCTGGGCCACCACCCCAGGGAAGGCGGGGGAGCTCGCGTCCTCGGGCTGTGAGGGATTACTAAGGGTCTGCACCCGCCGTGACGCCAGGAGCTGGGCGGGCAGTGCTCGCGGGGGACCGCGGTGGGCAGGGGAGGCCCTTGGCAGAGGGGCCACACGGGGAGGCCTGGAAGGCAGGGCTGGAACGAGGCATGTCAAGGGGCAGCAAGACATGTCGGGGAGCCCGACCCTCAAAGCGGTGAGTACATGGAACCTCCTGGCCCCCGTGAGGCCGGGGCCAGTGAGCTCAGCCTGAGCAGCTGAGGAGCGGGAATGTGGTTCCTGGGGGTTCTGCCCTGGGGCCAGCGGAGGGGCCTCAACCCACAGACGAGGTGGCGCCCAGAAGGCCCGACAGGAAGAGGCGGGAGGACGGGGCAGGGGCAGCCTCAGCAGAGAATGACGGGCAGTCTAGGGGCTGAGCAGACTCGGAGGCCGCCCCGGCCCAGCTTGAAAGAGAAGTTTGCCCACCGCGCGGAGGTGAGCTGGGTTGTCCGGGGGCCGCGCCACTGCTTGGAGGGCCTCCACCAGGCCCCTGGGACGCGGGGAGCCCCTACGGCACCACCTGGCTCAGAATTAGGAGGGCCCTGTGGGCCCGCCCCTGCCCTCAGGCTGCCTCACCGAATGTGACTCCAGATGAGACACGGGCGAGAGGGGACAGAGGCTGCCTCACCCCAGGATGGAATCGGCAAAGTGGCAGGAATGAGGAAAGACTGGCTCTGGGCCCCAGAAGAGTCTTCCGGGGCCACTTCTCCGACACAGGACAAGGACCAGAGGGGGCAGGTGGGCGCCCCCCCACGCAGTGCGCAGTCTCCTTTAGGGCGCGGACGCCCCCCGCCGCCCCCCGCGCCTGACAGGTGGCGCGGCTAAGCGGAGGGGCGGAGCCAAACCGGGCGGCATCCCAGTGGCTACCTGCCCCCGAATGCCTCAGTTTCCTCGTTTACAAACCAGCGGGAGGGGCTGTGGCTACTGTGGCTCCCCGCAGGGTGTGCGTGGCTGGGGGAGCAGGGAACGGGCTGGCTCCCCCCGCACTCACACCTCCGCCCAGCACCCTTGTGCCAACTGCACACGGCGGCCAGCCGGCCCTTCGGGGCTGCTCTCATGACGAGGCGGATCGATGACCGTAAAGGGCCTGGCACGGTGCCCGCCTGGCACATGCTCGGGCCCGAGCGCAGTAAACATCAGCTACGGTGGGCCTCGGAAGCGCTGATAAGCGGGACATGGGGGCGTCAGGGCCAGGCATCCCGTCGGTGTCCCCCCACCCGGAGGGGGGGCCCGTCCAACACTGGGGACTCCACCCTCTGGTCACAGAGGGCCCTCGGAGCAGAGCCAGGTTCTGCAGAGGGCCCCTCCAGGGCACACAGCAAGTCTGGAAACTCCAGGCGGCCTTCGCCTTCCCCCTCAGCCCGAGGAAGAATGCAGCCAATTTTCTGGAACGTCCCTCTCAGGTCTGCAAGAGGCCCCCCAGTCTGTCTGTGATTACTTATTCACATGCCCCCTGGAGGGGATCACGAGCGCTCCCCTTTCACTGATCTGCCAGGCCCCCCAACTGTCCCCACCTGGAATGTCACCCGGGCCCATGTCGTCAGGTGGGCTTCCGAACACGAAACCACTCCACTCTGACGTGTGTAACACATCCAGCGAAAACGAACCCCAGCCACAGGAACACAATTAGTGGGGAAGCAAATCCGCCAACGATCTTAAAGAAAAACAGCCCAGACCCGCTCTTGCCAAAGCTGTGGGTGATGAATTGCTTGAACGAGACACACAGAAAGAGGGAATAAAAGGGGGTTCCCTCTCTCTGTGCAAGGAGTGGGGGCGGGCAGGAGACAGAGCCCCCTCCCGCAAACCAGTCTGGCCCTGTTTCCAAGAACGCCCCGCCTGACAGAACAAAAAGCACCCAGAGGCTGGGGGACACGTTCTAGATCTGGCCTCGGGCGGCGGCTTCACGAGGCGCAGAACTGTCAAAAGCACCGAACAGAACCACCTGAAGCTTGGGCATCTGTGCGTGTTGATTAAACAACAATTAAAATAAGTCATCAAGAGAGCATCACGAGGCCACAGTTTCCAGATCCAACTCCCGCAGGCCTGGGGGAAGCCTGGTCTCACTTTCCTTCCTAGAACTGGTTTTCGGGGAAACAAAGGGAGTGGGGGCAGGGAAAGTCGGGAACTCCAGATTCTTCAACCAAAAGTCAGGGCAGGTGATGTGGTCTCTCTGGGCGGGGGAGAAGGGGCCGGCGGCCCCACCACGCAGTTCGCCTGCAACCCTGAATCCTGAAGCCTCCCAAGCGAGTCCCCAAAGTGAGAAAGTGGGAGGGTGGATGGGCAGGGGTTCCCTCCTGAGTCACCAGGGGACCAGGCGGGGCGCCACCACGGCCCCTCCCAGCCCTCGAACTCTCAGGGCTTTCCGGTCACAGGCACCTGGCAGCCCACACCTGACACACACCTTCCCTTCCAGACAACACGGCAGGTTTAGACCAGTGACCTATTATGCTGTGTGTTATTACTAACCCCGCTGGGTGCTGGGCTAACACCAACCCTCAAGCTGCCCTCTATCCTCCCGGAGGAACTGGAAGATGAGCTGCGATCGCCTGGCCCAAGTCACAAGGTCACATCAAGGTGAGGCTCCACCGCCTGTACTAATCATGACCTCCAGCAGCTTCTGACCCAGACAGGCTGCCGCAGTCCCGGACGGGGAAGGGAGAACATCCATTCCAGCCAGGGAACGCAGAGAGACAGGGACCCAGGAGAGCAGGACTGACCCCAGCCCCTCCCCCCGAGAGCCACTGCCCCCTTGTCCCCAGGAGTTTCTTCCTTTCCACCCCAACTCTCTCTGCCCAGGCGCCCCCTCCCCGCCCCGCCCCCAGGCTCAGCTCCTCGGCTGCCATGCTCTGCAGGCTGGTCCTGGGCCACGTCCCCCTCAGCGGGGAGATGGCGTTCTTCGTCTACTTTTTCTCTGCTCCCCGGGACTGGGAGTACGCGGGGTGGAGATCGTGTCCGGCTTGTGCAGAGCTATGCCTCCAGTTCAGGCACACCTGCCACCAGCTAAGCCCCTCGGTGAAGCCTCTCCACCGACAAGGAGGCGGAGATGCAGGAGACATTCGCCAGGGATCACCCTGCAGGGCAAGGCCAGGGGACAGAGTTGGGCTGGGGCCCCGGACACGGCTACAGGTGTCACTTCCCTCCCCAACACTCTTGGAATAAACACCACCGACCCCCTAGTGAGGCCTCCCCTCCCCCCTGAGCGTCCAGCTCCAGCCACACTTGCGGCTGGCTGCCCTGGCCAGGCCCACACGCTCGCTCCCACCTGCCAGGTGCGATTTTAAATACTTCCATTAACGCGCAACAACCCGCACAACACCCCTCCGAGGGAGGTGCCATCAAGAAGCCCACTTTACAGTGCAGGGAACAGAGGCACAGAGAGGTCACGCCGAGGCGCAGAGCCGGGCCTGGGCCCCACCTGCTCTTCTCTCACAAGCTCTGGCGCCCAACCCGAGCAGGGCCCCCCACCCCCGCCAAGCCCCCCACCCCCGCCCTCCCTAGCATTTTCAAGCCTCTGCCCCATTCACTTTCTTCCCGAGGACACTAAGCGCTAAGTACAACGTGTTTAGGTGACTGTTGACATAGCGCCTGTCACACAACCCCCCAGATCGGCAAATGTGGGAGCATGTGCTTGGCTTGGGGCGTCACCTTATCCCCAGCTCCTAAAACAGTAACTGGCACACAGCAGACGCTCAGTCCATTTTTGCTAGCTGTTTAAAGGCAGACGAAAGGTAACCTACCACAATAAAAAGACAGCAAGTCCCCCGCCCAGTACACGCTTGTGGCTGGCTGGATGGAAGGTCAGGTCTCTCCATCCTCAAAGAACCGTGGGTAGGCCCTGGGGGCCTGGGCGACGTGGGCCCTCCCTTCCTCCTCTCTCCTGGAGACTCCACCACCCCGCCCCCCCCCACCTGCCATCTGGCTGGGTCCCCTCCCCCAGCCCTCCAAGGGGCTGCCCCTCCTGATCAGAAATCCAGTGACCTCCCCTTGGCTCTCACGCACTCTGACAGCCATCGCTGACCTCTCGGGGCTGCCCAATCAGAGCCGTGCCCCGGCCCAACAGGCCCAGGGCCCCCACCTCTCCCACCGACCACCCCCATTCCTCGGAAGCCAGAGGCATCCACTTCACTTCCCAATCCAGGGCTATCCTCCAGTGACGCTCCGCCTTTCTCATGTCACAGATCCCTCGGAGGGCAATCAAAAGCGGGGAGCCTTTCCCCAGAAACATGCAGAGAGAGCCAACAGCAATGCTATGGCCATGGTCCATCGGGTAGACACACAACGAAGAAGCTGAGGTGTGTTCCCTCCAGACAGGTGCCA